CTGTCCTTGACTACTTAGCAACATCCCCAAACATCAGCACGTTATCACCATTTTCTCATCCCAAATCCAAAACACAGCCTCACACTAGCTTCTATGAAGAAAATTAACTCTATCCTGGCTGAAACCAGGACAATGGATAACTGAGCCTGAGAATCTACAGCAACTTCCAGTGCCTGCACAGTGAGTGCTGAGTGTTCTTCAGTGTCAGAGGTCAAAAATTCTGATTTGGTGCTAAAGAACAAAATAACTCTCGATTGGAGGACGTGTAAATGTTATTACAAGGATCTGGACTGATCCTTTCACTGTAAGGTGGTTTCACAGAAGCTGCATCACTTGCCTTTTCACCCTAAAACACTTTCTTTAATGCCAGGGACTGTATTGACCTAACCACCACTGCCTCTATCATTAGTTTTTCTTTCCTTATAATGAATTAATAAGTTGTTGATTTTATTATGAAAGAGCCTTAGTTAATGGACAGTTCTGCAGCTTACTAGGATGAATATGAGGGAACATGGTTTGAAGGGATTTTGTAACAAAAATATTTGCAGAAAAGAAGAAATCTGAGATGGTAATGCTTGCAGAGCTGTAGACAGGAGTAAAGAATGAAAGGTTCTCACTTTGAAAGCATTTAATCTCTAACACAACACAGAACAAGCCAAAACATAAGCACACTATCTCCTAGCTGACTTGTTTCAGCTTATAATGAATGAATATGCTCCAGATTGAAGTGTCACATTAATGTTCTACAAAATAGGAATGAGTTTCATCATCTTTATTCAATGTATTTCTATCTGTGTCTGAAGTACTGAACTATCCATTTTGCTTGGAAATACATTTGAAAGTGGGAGAAGTTGAAATGTGTACTCTTTATAGATATTAATAAAATACTTCTTTCTTTTTTTCTCTTCATCCCAAAAATAATAAGTAGAAGATAGACTGGGTTCTGGCTTTGGAATTGGAAAGATCTAGAAAACATAAATGTAGGAAGTCAACTGGCTATTTGGATGTAATATTTGGAAACTTTATGTATAGATGAAAAAGAAAGGGGGGCAAGAAAGTCCCATCAATAATATTTATGGAATTTTTGGTACATTTCTGGATTAAGGGTACTTTATGAACTGCTAGATCTTAGGTCAATGGAGTAACCTCTGATTTTAGGACCCTCTGCTGCCATCTTTCTATATATGAAATTCCCATTACTTATAGAAAAAGGTCAGCTTACTGAGGAACATGCTTTATAAATTATGTTTCCTGACCTAGCATTCCATTAATAACAGAATATGGTGATAAGTTAAATGCTTCCATTGCTGGACAACAGCTTAGTTTGATGAGGAACATAGATGAGGGGTTTTTGTCTGTGTTGCACATACATCTGTGTCAGAACTGTGGATTTTTATATTTTGCATTGTCTCTTTATTTGTTTCACTCCTGGCTAATGCTTTTTTTTTTTTCTGTCCTGTGTGAATACTTCTAGATGTTCGACTGGATCAGCCACAACAAAGAATTGTTCCTGCAGAGTCACACAGAGATCGGTGTGAGCTACCAACATGCCCTTGACCTACAGACGCAGCACAATCACTTTGCCATGAATTCCATGGTGAGTTGAGGGCATGCTGTGAACAGCAAGTCTGTGTGTGTGAGTGAGGAAAGGGCTAGCACATGAGGCCACCTCCAGTTCAGAGAGAGCTCTATGGACCTGTGAGAGGTGAAGAAAGGAAGGTCAGGCTGGGCTGTGGCAGCAGCCCTCTTTCTGGGAAGCAGAGTATTGATTTGTCCACCCAGGCACTGACATATGACTATTTGACTGCTCCTTGACTTAAGGGCAGCACAGTCCTGGGGAGTTTGTTTACATTTTGGAGAACAAATACAATATTTTTAAAATTTTTTGACATTTCTTTGACTGGGAATTAAGGAGAACTGTAGGCAGCACCTTAACAATTTATGCTTCTCCCCCCACACCCTGCTAAGGTACTTTTCAAAATCCTGAAAATGAGACGCTAATCAAGCTACCAATTGTGGCCACAGTGGGATTTTGGCTTTTTCAGTAATCAGTCAGTCTTTTTGAATGCAGCTCAACTTACCTTATTTAAAAAAAAAAAAAAAAAAAAAAAAGGCAGCAGCATTGCCCACTTTCCTATTCTTTCCAGGCATAAAGTATTTGTTCTGGAAACTGCTCTGCTTTTAGCACAGAAATGAGGACAAAATGTATTGATGTTTTGATTGTTGCACTGGGTTAGAAAAATGTGTGCATGCCCCCTGCTGCAAATGTACAATGCAGAGATGAGCCCTCTGAACGCTCGCTGTTGACTACACAAAAGCTTGCCCTGAGTAAACCAACTCCTGCAGGTGTACGTCTTCATGCTGTGCACAGTCAGACTACAGTTGCACTGGAGCTGAGTTCTCAAAGGTGGTGGTTGATGTTTAAGTTGGTGATGTAAGTCACGAGAGAGTCACACCCTACTATGCCACCAAAGGGCCTTGAGAGCACCCATCTGAAATATGAAAGAGGTCCTAACTACCTGAGGTCGTTAAAGGTCAGGTAAATAACTTCTCTGAACTAAATTCTACCTGTCATTTCCACCTACCTAGCTATTCCTCACTAAAGCACTGTGCTTTACTAGGGAGTTGCATAACAGTGGAAGATGAGAAATGTTTATAATGTCTATTAATGGATTTATTGTGATTATAATGGAAAGGAGCACTGAAAAACATGCTCTAGGAACCTGATTGTTAAGCTTGCCATCACAATGCCTTCTAGCAAAATACAGGATAGCATGGCCTGCATATAACACTGCTGCTCAGAAATCCTAACAAATAAATGTGTCCCGGAGGTTAGTGCATTAAAAGTCATTTGGCTTATGAAAGATGCAAAGTCTGTCATAATTCTTCAGAAAACACCATTAGAAGAGTCAAGCTGGAAGACCTCCCTTTATCCTTTTTGTGGCAATGTCTGGTACTATTTTCTTAAAATAACTGGGAGCTAAACTTGGAAAGAGATAATTGTTGTTAATAGAAAATTAGCGAGCAACAGGGAGGGTGCCACCTAATGGAAGAAAAATTATTTTCCTCCATTCTTCTTCTATCTGTCCCCAAGTGAACTTTTGGGAATGACGAATGCAAGGAAGTGAGACATTTGCAAAGATCTTGTGGGGAACTTCTGGGAGCAGGGACCTCTCAGCGCTGCGCTGTGACTCACAGCTGTGCCATTTCACCATCTCAGTGTGGCCACACTCCTGTCTAATAGAGCTGCCCAGGAGAGAGACCTTTTCGATTGAGGGGAAAGAGTGCAACACATGATGTGTCTCCCATTTTGTGCTGTCTCCAGTATAATCCACACACATGTATAGCCATATGGGAGCCCATACAGTCAGCGTGAATCAACCTACAAAGAAGATTGTCTCCTCCATCTCTTTAGCCTAGAGGATCTATGTGGAAGGGCATGAATACTGGGCACCTTTAACATTCAATCTATAAGTATAGTGAGAGATGGCACTCAATTCTGCTCTAATTAATTGGACTGAAATATATGACACTGTGGAGGAACCCCACAATATGACAAATAAACCAAACTATATATCTTGTCAGATAATCATCCTTATACAAATATAACTCAGAGGGCAGTACGCCTGTATGTCATTTTCCATATGCTACTTTTCTTTTAGCTTTAGTTGAATTTTAGACCCAGAATCGCCTCTGCCTATGGGGTGATGTCTTCCTTTAGGTTTTGGATCAACATAAATTCATACAGCAAAAAGGCACAGTTCATTTGACTTAGATTTCTATTTTAAAAAATTCTTGTGATATGCTCTCTCAATAGGAACTTCTTAAAAAATTCATCAACACATTTCAGTTGTTAAACAGAGATTACATAAGGATTTGTGGTATTGTTATTGACAGTATGGCGAAGTCAGGATAAAAAAGGTTATTGAAATTTTTCAGGATACAGATGCAACTGAGGACTATAATTTTCTTCTTCTTTTTTTTTTTTTTTAATCTAAATGAGGCCTCCACAGTATTTATCAGAAATATCAGAGTTTTACTCAGTGCTTGAAATTCCTTATGATCAAATAGGTTTCTCAAGATTTTCCACATTGCTGAAAAGCCTGCATTTGGGTTATGTGTCTGCACAATGGCCTTTCTAGAGGGGATTTCAATGCCAGGGTTGCACAGGATGGCAAACTAGGTGAGTTTTATAGCCTGTTGAGGTTGGCTTGTGGCATTAAACAAGTCTGCTGTCTTGCAGAGTGCTGGACAACCTACTTTTGCAATAGCAGATGTGGGGCTGTATCAAGCTGAAAGGACATTTGGAAAATAGTGGGAAAAGGGTAACAACCTTAAGCTGCAGGCTACTTGAACTAACCTGGAGCTGCTGTCAGCAGCGGTGCTCTTTTTCTCGCAAAGAATCTTCTCCACCTAAAAAATGTGGAGTGATTCCTGGTGTCCCCAAAATCCATATTGTGAATATGAAGGTGTTAGCATGCAGGAGACATCAGCTTGCTGCATAATGGTGTTGGGCTGCATACTAGTCACTCCATTTGTGGTAAAGCATGCAGAAAGAGCAAGAGGAGATTGAAACTAAAATGACTCTTTCCTGGCCACACCCCAGCTCCTGTGGTAGTCGGTAGTTTTGTCTCTTGGCACGCAGAAGAACTCTATGTAAGCCTATGTGAATACACTCTGTAGTAGGGATGAAGCCACTGCATTTGTTCCAGGCAAGAGCCAGTGATGGTCAACAATGGACTCGGGACAGATCGGTTTACCTGAATGAAGCAAAACCAGAGAAAGTTGGTTGATGACTCTGAATATAGTGGTAGGACATTACATACCCTGTAATTACATGCCTACACAGCAATCTGAGCCATACTTCCGTTGTTGGAGAAGTGGGATCTAGAAATATGGATTAGCTCTGTTTCATGTGTAACAACACTTTAGTTAAGGACAGTCTTGCTGATAACAGAGAAACTAGAGGGAAAACCACCACAGGGAACTGTAACTTCTTGAGGCACGATATACAAGGTCTATATGTTTTTCCCAGGTTTTCTGATGTTCAATCTGATTAGGTGGATGTTGGGGTTTTTTAATCCAATACAGTTTTCCCTAAGAAAATTAGTCAGTGATGTTAGAAATACAGAATCATGTGATTGCTATTGCACAACTGCCTTCATTCAACTGTCTTATTTTTGCAGCAACATGTTAGATCAGTCGTTCATGCTACCATTTGATTTCTGTGGGAGACAGTTGGAAAATGGCTAGTGCATATTATTTGATCATATTTATATTGCAGTAAGAGTAGGAGGTTTAGGTCACCGTTCTACGTGCTATACGCTTTCAAAGGAAGAAATGGTCTTTGCCTTGCAGCCTGTTGCTAAAGGCCCTGCTCCTAGATAATTGATATACCTAAATTACTTGTGTACATCAAGAGTCTTCTTGCATTAAGTTGCCCACTGATAAATATTTGTGAAGTTCAGGATTAAGTAAAATAATGCAGAAGGTGTTAGAGAGAAAACTATAGCTCCGGTGAATTTACTATTAGGTATGTGTTTATAATCCAGTATTCCTCAGTCTCTTCATGTAACAACCTTGGCTGCAAAAAGAAATTACAGGAATCTTTTACCAGAGAATGGGGAGGTTATTACCCTCAGATCTGTTTGCAGTCCCAGGTAGAATATTGTGACCCACCCAAGTCTGAAAATTTAAGATGCTGGTGAGTTTTAATAACTTAAAACATTCGTATCAGATTCATATCTGATGAGCTTTCAAGCTCATGTTAATTACAAACCTAAAATATTTAGCTACAGTGCTTTGGGTTCAATTCATGGAGTTTGGTTCAAGAATGACTTTTCAAACCCACTTAAATGCTGCTGCACTTTTTTGACATAAATCTGCTCTCTAAGTCTTGAGGGTGAATTAGATCACACTATAAACTCTTTCTCAGGAATTTGCTTTGTAATTGTAATTTTGCTAGAAATTTGCTTTATAATTCAGCTAGATCATTTCTTTATGCAATGTAATAGTCCCAGCAACTGTTGGATCAAGAATACTTCAGCTATCCTGAACCTGAGTAACCAAATAATGGAAACTTGAAGAACTCTTCTTGTTTGTGAGTCTTGGTGGTGTTTATGGCTTTTGAGTTGTTTTTTTTTTTGTTTTGTCAATATGTTAAAATCAGTACTGAGAGAAGATATGGAGGAGGACAATGTCACTGAGGATGGCTCTATGTTTCACAGGGAAAACACTACAAACTTCAGTGGAAGTTGGATCAGATCTTGGACCTCTGAGATGTTTTGATTTTTTTTTTCCCCCTTTTTATTTTACACTATGCCTACTGTCCTTTAAGCCTGGCATAACTAATAATAGTTAAAATACTCTCTTCAGTTCCTCTTGAAAATACACTCTCCAAATGTTTATTGGGTCACATCTTTTGTTGCATACTCTTCCTATATGTCTCTATTGGCATGCTGTGACTAAAGCTCCCTCTTGGAAAACCAATTTGTTACTCTGTTTTTTACAATAATTCTTCCTTTTAAATGAACGATGTGGGATGTGGAGAAGCCATGTATTTGAGGTAAAAAACTGTAGTGTGGTATTTTTCTTGCAAACAAGAACCATATTTATTTTTTTTCTGTGATTCAAGGCACTTTGTTTTCACTTCAGTTTCAAAAAAAATTATTTATCACAGCTGTATAATCCTTATACTGAAGCAATAATACTTTTCACAAAGATGAATATTTAGCTCCAACATTTTGTGAGCAATCTCAACAATCTAGTAAATTCACTAGAGGAAAAAAAAACAATGTTTCAATATGACACAAAGCATACTTGTTGTAGATCTGCACTTGGATACGTGGTATACGTGCCATTTGTTCCGAATGAAGTTATTCATATTTCCTTTGCCAGGCCTATTTTATGCTTGGATCCATTAACCTCCTTAAAGGATACGTTATCGCTTTCTGTGGGACATGCATAAAAATGGCAGTGTTCAGTGCTGGCATTACTGCCTATCCTGCTGTCAGGGAGTTAGCTGTCTTGACACTAGATGGAGATGCATGTTGTCCTAAGAAAGTCACAATATCTTTCAAACACATTACAATTATCATGTAAAGGCTAATGCTGTCTGTTGAAAATTCCCAACATTTATCTTAAATGAACGATATTTTTCTGTATGTGGGCTGAGCTAAAATGCCATCCAATATTATTCTGCAACAGGCTACATATAATTGGTCTTCTTATAGAAATTTAAAGGTTTTAAAGATACCTCATGAGTTTATTTTGTCACTGAAACATTCTGTTTTGGATTTATGTCTTAGAAACCATCTGTGAAATGAACCTAAACTCACAGTAACACAGTGCAAGCTGGTTATTTTTTATTTTATTTTAAAGAAGAACTCTTCAAAAATCAAATTTCACCTTCAATTAATCTGCAAAACCCTTCTCTTGCAGCCCACGTTCGCTGCTTGCCATCACAGTATCTCAACTAGTTCTCTAGGAAATGAGATGAACACAGCCAAGTTCCTTGCAGACTTAATGCTTCTCACTGCTCATTTTTCTTTTGTGAATGTAAGGTATTCTTTTTATACGTGTATTAGAAGAAAGTATTGTTCCAGCTAGGGTTGGAGGGTTTAATTAAGAGGGAAGGTCTACCAGCATGCCCACTAGATGATCAGGGCTGAATTAGTGTATGTCCCTGTGGGAGCTCATTCCACAATTGAAACTCCACTACTGTCAGTGCTTATTGCTGAGACTGAGCGTTGTTATCCTACGAAGTGTTAGGGACTTTAGCAGTGATTGCTTACATTGGAAGGAACAGCTATGTTATAAACATCGATGACCAGGATCAAGGCTCCGTTTAGGTGACAGAAATGGATTAAGAATTGGTGGACAAAGAAGGGTATGTGAACTTGCAAGGCATTGCACAAGGCTTTCCTAAACTGTAAAAGAAACTCTTGTATATCATGATGCTGAGATACTGCTGTGTGGTGAAATTCTTCTTCTGATCGCCAGTCAAGTGAACTTTAGAAGGCAAAAATCTCCTTTTTTGACGCTGAAATAAAGTCAATGAAAAATGAACTTTAACAAGGAGAGTGCTTTTGGAAAGTCTGCAAATACATGTGAAATAAAGGTTTTTCAATTGTAAAGGAAATATATTAGCCAAAACTTGGGTGTATGCTAGTGTCACTACAACAGAATGTCAATTGGAGTGCTTTTACCACTACTGTTAGACATTAATATATTGTTTTCTCAGTTTGACCTACTTATATAGCCATAAATCAGTGATCCCTCGCCGTCCTCTTTGGGGACACCTCTTAAAAACAAAACAAAACAAAAAAAATGGTGAGACTCTCTATAAACTTGCTAGTAGTGGATTTTCCAGCCTAAAGGAAAAATCAAGTCATAGACATTAGTTGCTCCATTTAATTTATTTCCTATTAGGGTAAAAAGATCTGTATAATAGTGATATAGAAAAGTCTCAATTTTTAAAAACCTCAGTTTTTAGAGGTGAATAAATTGGAGGGAAAGGAAGGTTTAACTTTGTAAAAGGTCAATAGTTGAATTTTGGCAGCATGGATTTTTGTTCAGTTTTACTCAGAACATTGCACAGATGGAAAAAAAAAATATCAAAAAAGTGGCTTACAATTTTATTCCATTTCAAGGTGGAAGAGTAAATGTCTTGCATTTCTTGGATTGTGGTCAATTACATGTTTTTCTCCTGAAACCAAATTCTGAAGTGCCTTGAGGTAAAATACTGCATTTTGCCTGAATCCACAACAGAGATCCCATCTTTCCCAATTTTTCCCAGAGATACTCTATTTCCTAATAATAGTGACACTTGGTAAGGGTCCTGAGGTACTAAAATATGTTCTGTCTGGTAGGATGTGCTATCCCAAGTTCCAGATCTTTAGCCAAGTGTTTGCTCTGTCTTGTTTTCCTATGAGACTTTGGACAAGTCTTATGTGACCAGGCCCCACTTCAATGTCTCTGCTTCACTGAGGTGGGAGAGATAAAGCGGAGGTAAAGAGTGCATGTGTCTGGAAGTAGGAGGTATTCCCATTGCACTAACTGTTGGAACTATATGGAAGAGCACATCGCAGGTGATACTGCACTTGAAGCCATTTATTCCTCAGAAAGCAACAAGGGAAGCTCAGGAGTCTGTTTCCTGAGCCAATTACACTTGGTGCACAAAGAATGGAGGTGTGAGCAAGTAGCTCCCAAACTGCTCCTTGCTTGGTGAGGGAAAAGGTATGGAGTTAGTGGGTTGGCCATAGGACAGGTTCTTCCATGAAAAATTCTCATCTAGGAAAGCTAAATTTCATCCATGAAAATCCTCATCTCTGTATAAAAAAATAACAAACAGACATAACAATATATAAATCTCCCAAACATAAATCAGACTCTAAGAACATCTGCTGTATTTCAACTAGTCTTACCTTTACCCTTCTACTAGTTAATCTATATACTGTAGTTATAGGGAACCAGGGAATTCAAAGATATTCTCCTCTATGCTCATTGCATTGCAATGGCTGAGAAAGTTCTGCAGGGGAAAAAAAAAGCGAGCAAGATGAAAAGCAACTATTTTTTACATGAAATCAAAACTTCTTCAGCAACTTTTCTTTTCCTTCAAACACAGCAAAGTTCCATGTCTTCATTTGGTGCAAGTCATCTAAGCTCTAGCAACTGTACTGATGCTACACTGCTTTCCACCAGAAGAGCTGACCTGAAATGTTGCAAAATTATCTTGGCTGAGGCTCAGTCATGATGATTTTCTGGGAGAAAGGCTTAAATATTTGGTTTCTAACCTAGTGGGACACAAAGAAATGTTTAACTGTGGCTGGTGGTCAAAATTCCAAATTATAGTATCTTTTTTAAACTCCAGAACAATTTTGATTAGTTTATCTAATTGTACCAAAAAGATACTTTTATTTCTTTAAAATCAATCTGACAATTTTGAGCCAAATCCAATTTTTAAGAAAAGGCTAAGATAAGGGGGAAAAAAAAACCTGGAGGCTAGGTATTGCTTTAGATTTTTTATTTATGTGACAGGTGTCACTCTCATGGTTCCACTAGGAAGAGTAGAGTGGCTGTAAGGGCTGCGGCCTCATCGTTCTTTCCTACCTACGGGTACAATGAGTGTACTTCATTGTTATCCCACATACTTTGCCCTGCTTCACAACTTAGTCTGGACCTGTGCCTGCCTTGGCAGTGCTTTGGTGTGTTTCGTGTTTGGATTGGCAGATACCTTTCCACATTGTGCTCCTGCTCACTATGATGAGATCCTGCTCCAACAAACACTTCCACCTCTGATTTATTATTTGCCCATGAGTAATACTGTTAAAATCATCAGGGCTGCATCTGTCGTTGTGCATAAGGGTCTCACAAAGTCTACGCTCTGAAATTCCTAAAGCCCTTTTGAAATACTTTAGTGAGACAAGAAAGCAGTGAGTCAACATTAGCGAAACACACAAAATTCTGGGATGTTCCTTTCCTCAGGTGAGGAGGAAAGAGAAATGAGAACTGTTTACATCAAATGACATTCCAGAAATCTGCAAGACAGCTGTCATTTGTCTTTTGGTGGTGCACCTTTGTAAGACATTGTCATGATAGCTATTTATTTTCAGGTTTACGTTCCTATGCAGAACAGGGGTATTGTAATGCAATTACATTGCTGTCCATAGTTCAGTTTGAGAAAAAAATATCCTCCCACTGCTTCAAGGCTGAATAAAAACCATTATGGAAAATTCTTATGAAAGAACAGAAAATATGACTCTTTTAGTAGGCTTTTTGAATCCTTCTAAATTCAGAATGTAGTTAGCTGGTATCTCTGCTGGAGAACAGCTCAAAATAACCTGCAGAAAAGATAACATTTTAACCGAAGAATATAATTTAATAGACATTTTTATGGAAACTCTTATATTTCTATAGAATATCCTTATGAGCTCCTTTAAGTTCTACAAGACTTTTCCATTTGTTGACACTGTGTGTCTATAAAGGATTGTCAGAGATTTCTCAAAAGATAGAAAGCAAACATTTTACTTATGGATATGTGGATATAGCATACAGAAATATGAAGTAATGCAACAGAAAAATCAAGAATAAAATAGAAGCAATGAGTAGACCCTAGCAGGTGAGTAAATAGCGAAAGTATGGCAAATTAGTTTTGGATAAATAAATTCAAGGGGAGAGAGGGAGATAACAGTGTTTAGATAATGGCATAGATGTGCAAAAAGGTTCCTAAGGGATGTATTTTTAGAGTGAAAGGTAGTATGCCTGCTATTCATGCATATTTAAGCGGGTGGTTGATTGCTCTCACTGAACTGCTCGGCTTTACTCCAACTGATAGTGTTTGGAATGTGTAATGAGAGCAGAGGGTGGTCACGGTCCTTCCTTCTCTTTGTTTACATGTGCTTTTTAATTTTCAGAATGCCTATGTCAACATCAATCGGATCATGTCTGTTGCATCAAGGCTTTCTGAGGCAGGCCATTATGCTTCCCAGCAAATTAAACAAATATCTAGCCAGCTGGATCAAGAGTGGAAGAGTTTTGCTGCAGCTCTGGATGAGCGCAGCACCATCTTAGCCATGTCTGCTGTCTTTCACCAGAAAGCTGAACAGGTGAGCTGCTTTTGTGACTGGCAAAATGATCCACTGCTACTTTGATAATGATGATGCTGCAATTATTACCTGATGGCTTTTGGCTTGTATGCAGTGAGGTTAAGAGCCTAGTGGATCAGTGTCTCAAAAACAAATAGTAACATTTCCTCCAAAAAACTGGCACGTGTTCTCTGAGTGGGTAAGAAAATATGTTTATGCCTTAGTGATAAGAAAGAATCTGATCAAAACTGAAGTGCACTGTTGCAGTAACATGCTGCCTTATTTCTATTGCCTAATATTTCTTCAGTGCTGTCGATAAATTCAGGATTATTATGGTCAGGGAAACAGTATGTATCTGCGCTCATATGTATATGTGGCATGTGCTATGTGCACAGGAACATTCACACATGTGCTATAGATCCGCACCAGGAGACAATTTCTAGGAGCCAAAGCACATTATTGTTAATGAAACTTACGGAATTAATTCCACCGCCTACTCTTGCAGTTCTCTCCATACTTTGCAAACTTTGTTAGACCTCACTAAGTAGAGACTTCAGAGCCAGCTAGGAACATCCAAGAAAATCTTCTGTGTCCCTGAACTCTGGTTTGTGTCTTTAAAAACTACCAAAATGATTCCATAATTTCATAGTTACAAAAGATTTAAAATATGGCAGTGAATAAACGACCTGCTTTTTTTACACCTAAATCAGGTCCACTTCACGATGATAGTTAAACTTTGATCATATGTTTATTACATTAATTTTCCAGGGACAAACACTGCTTTAGGGCTCTCTTCAGTATTGTTGAATGCTTTTTTCCCCAAGTAGTTAATATCAAAGCTACTAAGTAGATGTGCTTGATCCTTATAAAATGACCCATACTTCAAGTGTCCAGAGAAGAAATTATAACTGATAAACCAGAAACTGTGCCTCGTAAGCCAGAATAGATGTATGGAAAAGTTTAGCTCGAAGAGTAAAGATTTTCTTTATTGTTTGTTTCTGACCATAGAATTATAACGGATTTTTCTTTATCTTGTGTTTCCTATTGACAACAGGCGATAGCAGTAGAGCAATTACTTGCCCTACGGGGCACTTACTCATGTAAGCACACTCAGTGGTTTCTGATGGTTTTGATACACTAAGAAGATGCCCAGCACAAGTACTTTCATCTCTGTATAATGGGCACTGTAGTGTTTAGGTGTAATCTTCCTCTTAATTGTCAGTCATCGTATGGTCATAAAGAAAAATCAAAAAAGAATTTATATCCAGTTTGTTATAGTCACAATAAGAATGTTTAGGGTTTATTAATGAATTAGTTCTTTCTTGTTTGTTTGGTGTTTGGTTTTTTTGTGGTTTTATTTGGGTTTTTTTATGTGCGATCCCCTGTTTTTCTGAAGTGTCAGTCTTGTTTGGAATTTAAGAGGAGTTGCTGAGGTATTGTATAGCCTGAAAGGCTATAAAACAGAAAGCTGTATTGAACTGTCTATCAAGCTAGAGGTGAATTTTTTTTTTCTTCCTACCTTTTGAACACTGTCAAACCGGTTATTTTGCCTCAGCCTTAACTTGAAAAAAGCTACACTAACACCACTTTCAGCTTTGGGTCTTTTTCTTTACAATTGTATGGATGAGTCTGAAAAACACAGCCCTGCCTTGGCACCTCTTTGTAGGAAACTGAAGTTTGTGATGCCTGACAGAAGCTAGTCTCATTACTAAGCAGACGAGAGAATTTGCTAATTGTGAACAGCAGTTGCGCCTCACTTGCAATAAGAAACAATTCAGTGGAAGATAAGTGCTGATGTGAAGCCTGGAAACTCAGACTGCTGCAAAAAGACATGTGGGAGTCAGTGTGTCCATTAGCCAGGACTAAAATTTTGACCTTGCTTTAGTAAATCTGGTGGGAGAAACCAATGACCTGAATGCTGATAATTTAGTCATCTGACCTCTGTATAGTATAAAAAGTGAAGTGTTTGCAATTTGGTCTATAACTCAGTCTGCTGTCTATCAAACATTCATTCTAAATGTCAGTCTCTATTATTTGGCATCACCCAGGGTTTTGGTTTGTGGTTTTGTTTTTGTTTTTTTTTTTTTTTACTCAGATAAGGGCTTCATTATTTTACAATAAATAAGGCTTAAATCTCTGAAGCAAAGATGTAGATAAACCCATTATTTCCTCTATCCCAGATCAAATCCTTTTTTGCTCCCTTTGTTCTGTCAGTAAAGGTAGTCTTGTTGCAGATCCAACCATTTCTCCCACAGAGCAGCGTACCCCTGCTTCCCTTATACCAATCTGATACGCAGATTGTCTTTCCTTCTCCAGTGCGATAAGCTGCTACAGTTGCTTTGTTCATTCCTTCTTATTGATTGAAGTTCTCTGTGATGCCAACAGGAAGCAAGTCTATTAGGACTGTAATATTTCAGCCTTTGGCACACCCCAGCATGCAAGGAAGTTTTTGGCTTGGGACAGATTTCTGAAAAGCTCTACAATCTATATAATAGGCAAGCTGAGCAGGAAGCAACTTGTTTTTCAAGGTCTCTTCCTAAAGACCCCACGCAGAAAACTGCACAGAATATAATTTGTCTGGCTTGGAGGGATGAAAGGCTGAGTCAACCCTGCTGGGAATTGAACCTCACATCTGTCTTCACGTGCCTCAGAATCACATTGCTTTCCTGGCTCTTAGAGCAGATACATGTGGCATGTTGAATGGAACTTGGCTGAATGAGTTCCCGGATCAAAGCTTTTTTTTTTTTTTTTCTTTGTTCCCTTCTTGTTTGTGTGCACATGTGTGTCTTCCTCAATTTTTTTGAACACAATTTCTGCATTGTAAACCATCATCAAGAAAAGAGAAAAGAAAAGGGAAAAAAGTAAAGAAAGAAAGAAAAGACAAATATTACCAACTCAGCCTCCAGCCAGGCTTACGTCAGCATGTGCATTTGATCAAAAGCCAGTAAACCAAAATCCAAACAACCACTATGTCCAGGTCAAGGTGCAACTCAGGATATTCAGTAGATGTGTTTCCCAAATATCCGTTAACTCTACCTGCTACAAATCTCTTGGGTTTTTGTGGTGGTTTTTTTTCCTTCTTTTCTCTTTTTTGTTTTTTCCCCTCCCTTTCTCAGTCTAGCATGGAGATATTCTAGTGCAAAAGAGAATCTGCTTCTGTGTCTTTAGATATGTCTGGGGCTACTCAAAGTTGCAAGAGAACGTAGGAGAAAGTGCCTTATCTCACTGTGGTTTCAAGAGAACTGTGCTGATTTACAGCAGATGAGATTCAAGCCCACTAACTGCCAGATGGGGGAAGCAGACATACCAGGTGTCCTCCCTTTCTTGGATGTAATCTCTGAAAGTGTTCTGAAGTATTCATAAGATGTTCACTCTACAGATCCTGTCAGAATGAACAAATTAAAGTCTTCAATCAGCCAAGAGATCTCAACCAATTAATTCTAGGTCAGAGTCTACCTTCAGAAGTGCACAAGCAAAATTATTATTTAAGGTAGTAGGTATTAGGTGCACATGCTAGACATTTATGCTGATTCTCTGAAGACTGACCCTTGATCATTTGTTTCATATTACCTTACTCCCCAGCCAGGAAGACTACTGTTCTCATCTCTGCCTGGATTTCTCTTAGCACATCCTGAACTCCCCTATGTGAGGAAAGGAAATGAAAAAGAGAGGAAAACAAAAAAGAAAAAAAGGAGGAAGAATTTGAGGAAAGGGAGGAAAAGAAAAGCCAGTTGATATCTATAAGATGTAGGGATAAGACCAAGACAACTTCTGGATTAGATAAGGAAACTCTAGAAACAACAACGGGGAACATACAATTAGCCTCATACAAAAAATTCAGAGCATGAAGAGATTTTATAAGTCACCGACAAAAACAATTTCATGGCCTTCTTCCCATCTTTCCCCACAGCCATTCTGGAGGATGAAAGTACACTAGAGTTTGGTTTTAATTTCTCCAGGGCCTAGGGGAACCACCCTGGTTATCCTGCAGCTTCCATACAGAGGCCTAGCAAGACATAAGCAAGGACTGTGCAAAAAATGTGGAAAAATATGGACTATCAAATGTCTGAGCTGTGTTTTGGAGCAACCATGTGATACAGCAGAGCAGTCCCTGAGGAAAGCTGCTAAGAAGTGTTCTGAGAATATGTTATTACCTGACTTAATACAGAATTTGCAACTCGGGTGAATACATTGTGAGTCAGGGGCAAGGTGGTAGGCCATCAGTTCAAAGTTACTTTGGGATTGGATCAGGAGCACAAAGCTACCTTAGGGACTTTTTTATTTTTTAGGAGAAATTTTTCTTAAGTCTTGAAACACATGGACAATTACTGGAGCCTGTCATTTCAAATCATATTTAAGCAGCTTTTATGTTCCCAGTAGGAGCTATTCTAGTCTATGGGCTAACTAGAAATTTAAGCAATTAATTTAAATGGTATTGAGTATCCAGTGGATAGTAACAGCTCCTGTTCCAACCTAACAGTTAACAATTTACAATGTTAAATGCATCGTTTTTCGATTCAGATGAATGGTGATTTTTTTGTGATATGAATATGTTTCTAGCATGAAGGGTTACATTTCATAGTTTTTTGTATCTGCCACAGTGCGTGACAAATAATAAAAATTAACATAACTGCTTTTTTCAAAATACCCAAATCAATAGTCCTTTCCAAACTAACACTTTGCAAAAATCCTTAACAATTTTGCTCTCCCTAAGTGAATCTACACACACAGCACAAACCACCATGCACGGTTTCAGATCAGAGTTAAACACTGACAGGCTGCATTTCTTAAAACTTTTTAAAACAGATGATGTCAACTGCTGCTGCTAGTGGCAGAAGTGAAATTACTGATTAATTGTTGATGTGACATTGTCTATATACCATAGATATACAAGAGAAACATAGATGTGAGACAACAAAATGACAATGTGGTTGTGTGTATAGGACCTTCTTGAGACTTTTCCCACCTACTGTGCAAATCACAGTCTGGGGATATGGCAGTATATGAGTAACATGACTGTAAGAGGTTGTACTAAAACTGGTGGAATTCAACAGTTTTGATAAGAGCCATAACAGCATGATTTCAGCAGCCGGAACACTGGTCTATAAGGTGTAAAGGTCTTTTCTTCACTGTTTAGACCGAGAGGTTCCTGTAACAGCCCCAAAAGGGATTGATCTCAACTCCATGCTCTTAAAACTGTATAGAAAATTATGTATTATGTGAATTCCACTGCCTTGGCATGAAATACGATGACTTCAGCTTTACGCAAGGGTGTTTGGTGATTTCTTCTGAAGAGATTCAACAGATCAGGAGTCAAACCAACACAAGTGAACCTGCTGTCCTTGCCTCCAGTCTTCTAGAAAGCACAGTTTTCACTGTTAGATCTGTACTTTGTAGACATGAACATTTAGGAATTCATCTTTGTCATTGAAAAGAAGTGTTTACAATGCAAACACTTTATAGCCTTGATTACATAGCAGCATGGTGAATAGCTTTACACTGTTAATAAAAAGAGACATTGATGCCAGAGCTGAATTGAAATTCTCTGCTTTGAATCTCGCAGCCCTTCATGCTGTGAATGGCTGCTTTGCTAACAAGCCACAGGTGAACACTTCAAGAGTGGATAGAGCTGTGATCCTGGGGGTGGTTTTGTGGCATTATACATTCACCCTACAGGGCCTTGCATCTGTTGTATCATTAGCTGTTCTTTTTTAATAATAGCCCCAAAGTATGGCAGGCTGGTATAACAGAAAGATGGAGGAAGAGAAAATATTAATGAGAAGTAACGAGGTGGCATTAAGCAGTTAGTATGGACAAAATATGAACATGTGAGCTGTGTCATTGCAGTAAGCCCTGTTTAAAAGAAAAACAGGATGGGAACCTCAGAGACTAAATTCCTCCTTTTTTTTACAGAACAGGCAGCACCCAGGAGAGCTTCCCCAATTTGTTCTGCCAAAGTGCATCAGCACTGCTCTGGAGGCCTTTAAGAGTGGAAAAATATTTTTTTACACCCCTCTGCTCCCTGAAGCCATTTGGTTTCTGGCTGTCTGTTGAGGCTTCCAACCAAGGTGCTAAACCATATCAATTGCAATGGCAATGATTTTTTTTCTCCCTTTTTGTGGATGTCTGCCCACCAGGAACTGGACTGAGACCAGCAGCTCATTTTGCATTGGCTGCTTAGCAGCCATCAGATGGTAATGACATCTGATCACTGCTGATCTGGGCCAGAATCAAATGTGTGACCTGGGGGTTTAAAGCCTTGGTATCCTATTAGAAATCCCACTGATATGGCCCTGGGTTGGGAACTGCTTCAATACAGACTGTCTGCCTTTTACTGAAATCAATGTCAGCATTGATTTTAAATGGGGTTTTCTATTGCTGAGATTAGTAGTGTTAAGGACAGGTAAGCGACTGAAGGAAGATTGACAGCTGAGACAATGCTAAATACAGCTGGAGCTGTAACTGTGTCCTTTTGTGCTTCACACTGATGTTTTTTTCCTAAACATGTTGCAGCCTCCCTTTTTGGGATGCAATGTTGTAGCCTCCCTGCATGGTACACAAAGACTCTTAGAATGGGTGTTTTCTAAGCCGTTAAAGGAGCATTTATTTTTAATTCAGAAGAAACAGCAAACATTCCTTTGGATCTAAGTGTCCTTCAAGTACTGAGGAGGTGGCAGGAATGTGCTGTTACAGGGTGCCCAAAAGGACTCCTTTATAACTGTTACGTTTTCCTCAGTCCTTGCTGCAGTCATATGTGGCATTCGACAAAGTTTTCTAACATTGATGAGATGTTGGTTTGTGTCACTGTTGCTCATTGTTTCTGGAATTGTTTCAGTTCCTTTCAGGTGTAGATGCCTGGTGCAAAATGTGCAGTGAAGGAGGCCTTCCCTCAGAAATGCAAGACCTGGAACTGGCCATCCATCATCATCAGACCCTGTATGAACAAGTCACACAGGCCTACACAGAGGTACGTGCTTCTCAGAGAAGAATGTGAGTACCTGTGAAATGATAACATGTATTTAATTGCATTTTGGAACTTAACTTTTTGAAATGAGATAAGTTCTGCTTTCCATTTCTGCAACTTTTTCAAAGTAAGAGTCAGATCTAACCCCAGGCCATAGGAGGAGACTCCCAGCAATCTGCTTGTAAGGGCACAACAGGACAGTCTGAGGGACAAACCCCATAGAAGAAGTGTTAGCACCCCAAAGAAGGGCCACTTCACTATCTTTGCTGAACAGGGAACACCTTTAAGCCACCAGTAGCTTTACTCCTGTTGCTTTCTTTTTGTGAATGAGTCCTGGCTCTAGCACAGGTATGCTAATGGAAACAGAGGGTGCCAAAGGCTTGTCCCTTCAATATACAAAGTCATAGAGATGTCAGGTCTGCATTACAATGAATGGTGCAAAAGGCTGTTCTTTAGATAGAATCTAGAATCATTTAGGTTGGAAAAGACCCTTAAGATCATCAAGTTCAACCACTAACACTACCGAGTAAACCATGTCTCTAAGCACCACGTCAGATCACACAGAATCACAGAATCACTAGGTTGGAAAGGACCTTCAAGATCATCAAGTCCAACCATTAATCCAGCACCACCATGTCCCCTAAACCATGTGCCACATCCACAGGTTTTTTGAACACTTCCAGAGATGGCGACTCCACCACCTCCCTGGGCAGCCTGTTCCAATGCCTGACCACCCTCTCAGTGAAGAATTTTTTCCTAATATCCAATCTAAACCTCCCCTGGCGCAACTTGAGGCCATTTCCTCTTGTCCTATCGCTAGTTACTTGGGAGAAGAGACCAACACCCTCGTCACCACAACCCCCTTTCAGGTAGTTGTAGAGAGCGATAAGGTCTCCCCTCAGCCTCCTCTTCTCCAGACTAAACAACCCCAGTTCCCTCAGCCGCTCCTCATAAGACTTGTGCTCCAGACCCCTCACCAGCTTCGTTGCCCTTCTCTGGACACGCTCCAGCACCTCAGCATCCTTCTTGTAGTGAGGGGCCCAAAACTGAACACAGTATTCGAGGTGCGGCCTCACCAGTGCCAAGTACAGGGACACGATCACTTCCCTACTCCTGCTGGCCACACTATTCCTGATACAGGCCAGGATGCTGTTGGCCTTCTTGGCCACCTGGGCACACTGCCAGCTCATGTTCAGCCAGCTGTCAACCAGCACCCCCAGGTCCCTTTCCCCTGGACAGCTCTCTAGCCACTCCTTCCCAAGCCTGTCGCGTTGCATGGGGTAATGTATGTGTATATACTGTTGTCAAATATCTCAGACCTAAATAGGGTACATGGATTTTTCCTTTAAAAGAGGGTGCCAAGAATGCTAAGACTAAAACATACTCTCTGGCATTTTGTCAAAAAAAAAGTACAATTCTTCACTTCCTTTTTCCCCTATCCAAGCTGCAGCATGAAATAAAAACTACTGACAAACAGCCAACATCCAGTGCACCTGACTGCAGTGTTTAGTCCACTTTATTTTGCAAGAGGGCTGCAGGACCTCCCTGGCATCTGGGAGGAGTCCTTTTAGAAATGAGTCTAGTCTAGATGTTCACCCCAGGCATGGGCTGACATGCAAATTACCCTGGGGGTGAGAAGCCATGTACCTTATCCCTTTTATTCCGTTATTCATGCCTCCAGGACTCAAGCTTGTTGGAAAGTAATCCACAGATCACCTGAATGCATGGATTTAGTTGTATTTTTTATTTCCCTGTACTATGCTATGCTTGACTGTCTAGGTATCAAGGAGTTTAGCTCCTTGCAGGGTTTTCCAAGCTGAACAGGAGGACTGTGGTAGTGCTTGCTATACTTAGTTACCAAGAGGAGATTCCAAAACAGAACAATTCTGTACTTCCTCTGGTCATTTTGTTCTTGGAAGAATCTATAATATAAAATAGAAGAGAAAAGGATTTGCTAATCTAGGCTTGGTGGTAGACACACACCCATACACAATGAAGTTGTGCAGATACCTTGATGATGGATGTAAGGAGTGTTTGATAGAAATCTTTTGTTTTCCAAACACCTGCAAGAATTTGGGAGTTAGACAATTAGAATGAGCAAGCCTGCATTGCGATCACAAAGGGTAATTCCTTATTCAGTACTCAGGCTTCTCAGGAACAGCGGGTTGTGTGAGGAAACACAAAACAGTCCTGTTGACTTCTAGTTGCAACTGTGAATTTTATACATGTGCCTAGACAGGTGAAATTGAGGTTTTTTGATTGCACTTAAAAAATATTTCTAAAAAATTAAGTCAAATTAGGATTAAATAAAAAATAATAATGCTTGAAACTGGCATTTTTTTTATCAGCCCCAATTGTAGTTTTTGTGAAATGAAAATTCATTTAAAACTCATTACCAGAAGCAACCTTTAACATGCATATTGCTTTTGCTGGTGCTTCCTCAGAAAGCTATAACTTGTCACAGACACAGCTGTTTAAAACATTTCTATATTATTTCACTAATAAGTACATTTTTAAATAGTATGTAGAATTGCCAGAAAGGTTACAGTCTGTTATTTTAGAAATGTTCATCCCTTTTCCCACAGCTACATGGTGAGCTGAAAAGCCTGGATTAGATTTAGGAGTCCTGCCTCTTATCCATATGCCTATTTCTACAATCTAGCTAATGCCCCTTGCCCATAGAAAACAATGTTTCTTTCCTCAGAGCTCTCTATGGTGGGATGAAGAATGTAGCTTTTTATTTCCTTTCTTTTCCTGAAGAGTCATTGAAAAATCTCTGTTTCTATTTCTGTAATTCTAAGAGATTTGGAATAGAATGAACATTCCTTGGAATAACCATTTAATATGGGTATTTAATAGGATATTAATTAACATTTAATGGGATATATGGGCCCATTCTGTTCTGTTACAGAGTATAACAAAGCTGTTAAGAGTCACTGCAGGAACCGAAGAAGAGATGCCCGAAGAATCTTAGGGAGAGTCTTTTCTTCCATCTTGCCATGGTTGTAGCCATAATTATTTGCCTTCTTTCCTTTATTGCACTTGAGTGAAGCTCAGAAATAGTGGAGGCAGAGATCATGGACCTGATATGCAATCCACAGCTAAGCAGTCCTCTCCTGCGCTAAGCCAAGCTGCTGGTAGAACAGGCCTTCTTTCTTCTTCTGAGAATCAAGTGGTGTTCTTGCTTTTACTTTGGGTAGAACAGTGCTGGAGGGAGGAGATACACAAGATGTATGCCTTCGGCAGATTCCCCTCTTGCAGAAAGTTGCTCTAGAAGTGTCTAGCCAGGACTCATTTATATTGCTCCACCAGTGTTTCTAGCATATGAACAGCAGGAGACAAACTTGGGACACCCCTAGTGAGGACGCTACTGCTTTGGTAAAGATAAGGAGGGAGAGAAAGAAAGGTTTTCTCCAGACAGGCTGGAGCCTGGTTGATGGCAAGAGCATCTTGTTCACTGTGACTTGATTAACTGCACTTTACTGTCTGTTCCCGGAGGCATGATGTATTTGCTCTAAAGACCAATTTTTTTTCCTAGTGCAAACTGTAGCTGTTTCACAGATGGCACCATTAGTCTAGTCCCTTGCAAGGCTTTGGAAGTCTTTCTTTTTGGTTCACCCAAGGTCACGTAGCTTCCTACAGAAACATTTGCATACTGCCCATCCTAGCCGTTCTCCTACCATGAAGCCAAAATGCAGGAATATCACCATATGACAGGAGTGTGTATGTGCATTGTGTCAAGTGGAGAGTTAAACCTGCCCAGAGAGTGCAGCAGCAATTCTGTACTTTTCAAAATAAGTGAGAAATGGTCAAATTTGCTTTGACAAAGGCACCACTAGCACTTACACCTTACAGGGACTGCAAGTCATGCCGGGTGCAAGTCCATTCAGTTTAAGACTTTTGCAATACTTCTTAAAAATATATCGTGAGACATAAGTGATGCAACTAAGCTGGGTTGCTGATGCTTGTCTACTTGCACAGTCCTTGAAAAATTCAAAAAATTCACATAAAAAGAGATTTGGTGATTTATTTTTGCAGTTATAAGGAGAACATGGAAATGACTGAAAGAGCACAGTAGGTAGCTTCTCCATTTCTGAAGCTGTTCCCTTCCTTTCTGAAATCTGTTCGTTGGTGAGCACAAACTTTCTGTGTCCTTTGATTGGGAATGCAGTAATATTCACAACAAAAATACTTTCAGAAAATAAACTTTTTAAGTGAAAGAAATTTAGAGCTGCAGAAGATACGAAATCCTGGAATATCTATGTAACCCTTAGAATACTGAGTGCCCCTGGTTACCTGATTACCACTGTGCTCCTTACCATATATTTACTCCAGCACGACGGGACAAGCTTGTAGATTCTAATAGCCTCTGATTTGTGCTAATGATTATTAACAGAACAATACAAGCACTTCAAGTCTGGCATTTATCTCTGGCTGTGCAGAGAATAACTGGAAAGTTACACCCATCAGGGAAAAATCATAACTTGTAATCTCTGAGGCTTTTTAGACAGACAACAGGAACAAATTATCATGCAACAGGTAAAAGCCTAAATCCTATAGAAGAAAAAAGAGTAAGAGAGAAGGCTCAAGTATATGCACTCTTTCCCTTACACCACAATTCTGGGAGAACATTGTCCTGTCTCAGCTTCAGATGAAGCAGGGGCATACAAGCTGTTGCCTTTGAAATAATCTTTTTGTTCTGCATTGCTCCTACCACTGCGACTTTTTATTGTAAAGGTCTTGTTGTCCATATTCACCCACTAGTCCGCTCTGAAAGAGCACCTTTTTTGTAAGATGACTGAATTTAGTTTTGTTTTGATCGGTCATAATTAGTATACAGAATATTTTCACCCAAGGATCTGACCCCTCAAAATGGAATAATTACAGAATTATACTTCTGGGAGGCAAAAAACTGACATGCAGGGCCTGCCCTTGGGAGATGGTGTAGGTATGAATAGGTCTGTATTGTGGCACAAGGTTTCCAGGAAAGTTGTTCTGAGTAAAGCATGTCTGTCATGTTGTCTGTGCAACCACATATCTCCTACTGGTAAACTTTTGAAACTTTATTGTTAGTTCTGGTTC